GATTTGGGCTTAATTCAACTCTACAAAACCAGTTTGAAAGGTATTGTCTTCACTTATATATTATATTTTGACACTATCTTTAGTCAATATAGGATTTGGGATTTTCCCAATAGAAAGAATGCAACAGTCCTGTCCATTAAGGAAGTAAGATAACTTGAGAACCACAACTTTCCCAGACAAAAATGGAATCACTTGAATATTACCTATTCAAAAGGTGATATACAATTGGCTTGCTAAGTAGTGTTTCTCTCTCCCTGGCTGCTTCCTCTGATGTGGATGACTCTAAGGTCCAAATCTCTTGTAAAGCAGACAAACAATTTGCGACTACCTGATCAAGAAAAAATTACTATACACGGAATGTACAATTTATTTGATGACTGCTGTTGTCTTAATTTTTTGAAACAAGAATACTTGTCATTCTGTTATATATATATATAGGTGAACAACAATTGAAAAGCAATAAGAACAAAGAATTAATACGTCATTCGCACACATACATGGACACAATAATAATAATGCTCAAAACAGCAGGCATTGACATCATAACAAAGCATTTAAACTCCAAAAAAAATGAATTCATTTTTTTAACGGGGTACAACCACAAGTATTATACCAAAATTCCCACAATTAACTTCTTGAGCAAACAAAATATTCAAATGAGACCTCAAGGACCTGCTCATTAAAGGGTGATTACTCAAGGCAATTTGCTGTTTTCATACAGAAAACAATCAAAAGCACTGGTTTGAAAAACAATGATAAAATAAATAAGTCATACCTTCAACAGAACTTATACTTGGAGTATTTATTATTGCATAGGTATCCTAATCAAATTAGGATCAGCACCATACAAGCTCTTATATTTTGTTTCTTATTTTAGTTACAGGTTTCGTGTATGTTTTTCTTACCAATATGATATATGTACTTCTAAATGTCCAAAGACATCATCTGCGGACACGAACATAATTCACGATAATAATCATTTGGAAAACAGAAAAGGAATGAAAGAAAACAAATCAAGATCAAGGAAAATAACTTCTTATTTACAAACAGCCTATATTCGCTTGCAATTCATTAATCATTGGACAATTTAGATTAGCTTTATTATAAGTAAAACTCTTAATTCTTTACAAAACTTAAACAGCACTGATATGATTTATCATAGGTTGAAGATGAAATTTTCATACAAATGGAATCCTCACCTGAGTATCAGGATCATTGAGCATCAAATGCTTTAGTATTGCTGGAAAATCTGCATCAATACAGGTGGAAGCTGAAATATGATACAGTTTCAAAACCCCAATAACTGCCACCATCCTGACATAACTGTTGTTGTCCTTCAACCCAGACCCTAATGGCCCAACCAAATATTCCACCAAATTTGCCACCCGGAGTGAACACAAACTCCTCAATGCTAGACCCCGTATCATCGGATCCTCATCCTTGCAATCTCTTTGTAGAAAATTAATCGTCAAAAGTGCAAGATCAGGATTGACCTTTGCATAGTTCCCAACATATAGATAGCACATTTTTTTCAGAACGATGTCTGATGTCGCAGAGCACATTACCATCTCGCCAAAGAGAGACGAGACATCGATACCAATAGTCATGTTGGAAATCACCTTCTTGAAGAGATCCCTCTTAGAATCATCAGCACCTGGAGCTCGGCTTCCAGCAAGCTGCCGGAGCTGTGATTTCAGATCGGAGACTTCACTCTTCCTGATTAAATTAAAGATTGGGTCAGTACTCGACGAGAAGATATCAAACCACAACCAAAAAATAATCAACCTGACAGAAAATAATTCAGTTATTAACAAGGACAAAACTTAAATACAATTTCCTACGTCTTTTCCAATCAATATTAGAATTTCACCTCAATAATCTACACATTAAAGGTTTGCATTAAATGTCAACATGGATTACTGACTGGAAACTTCGATTTCGAACGGAAAACAACACAAAAAGCACCTCAGCAACAGTATCTAAGTTGTCTACAATTAATTGCCAATAGCTCGTTTAAGGTTAAAAATACAAATTTTAAAAAAGAGCATAAAAAGCTAATGCACCAACTCAATGTAGTTAACTTAGCCCCTTTAGCCATTCCATAAACAACTTTCTGAAATGAAAAGATAACGAAAGTGGTTGAATCCGCCAGAAATTATGCTGTGCGTGCTAACGAGCTCGGTGTACATATCTCAACTACTTAAGTAAAAACACATGGACACTGTATTTCACAATTATACGCCAAATAGGACAAAACTGAACGGCATTGGATCTCTAATGTTAATGACAACCAAGCGAAATGCGCATTCAAACATTTGAAGGCCTGTTGCAAGATAAAACCAAAGCATAAGAAATTTCGTATTTATCTGAAACCAAACCGCGGCAATTGCGATACAGTTGCTTCCGTAGATGAGTCCAAATCGAATTTGTGCAACATTCGAATAAATAAAGAGAGAGTTGGAAAGAAAGAAAAGAAGATGCGGGGAAGGTGGATCAGGGAACTGACCCTGACGGTTGTGACGGTGACGGCGATCGATGAGACTGCTGCGGCGGAGGAGCCATGGCCACGCCACTGAGAGTTGAGTAAAACGACCACGCACACAGTTAGATCGCCCCTTTGTTTCTTCTGAAAAAGTGAGATCTAAAACGAAGAAGATAGAAGAGTGATCGGTAATTGTAGCTGCGGTGCTAATTGAGCTTGTGAAAATTTTTTAATCAAAAATTGGAATTGCGATTTGGTGAGATGAAAATTAGAAACTGCTACTATTAGAGACTATGCCCAGAAATAATAATAATTATTATTATTGTTATTATTATTGTTATTATTATTATTATTTATTAAAATAAATAAATAAATAGACGAAGAAATAAATTGCACCTGACAGATAAACTTTCGACGTATGAGAAGCTGAAGTGGCGAGACCTGATTGCCTTGGTCTCGTCCCTGTATGTATCACTTCTATTATATGTTTCTGTGTGAGAAAAATAAAAAATAAAATCGCAATTATGCAAAACAATATTAGCAATTATAATTTAAATAGTTGATATATTTCATTATGTTGTATATGTTGATGTGACGCTTCAGGCACTATTTATGTTTTTTTTGTTAAATATCAGGTCAATGAAAGACAAAAAAATATGTTATTAAAATAATAAGATTTATTTTTTAAAATAAGAACAATAAATTCGCGAGAAACACAAGGGCATAATTACATTAAATTATACTTTATCCATTCTTATTTAAAAGTCAGATTAAAAGTGGCGTTAATTTTATTTTTTTTAAATCAATCTATAATGTTCCTTACATTAATACTTTTACTAAATAACGCTAATTAACTACAAGGTCAGCTTTTATAGAGAATAAACTAAGACAAATTTTTATTTTAAATTAAAAAAAAACTTTGTTTAAATATTAATAATTGCATAATTGAGTTTTCTAAGAAAAAGGATGGAAGTATATATCTTCTTCATTCATTTAAGTTAAATATATATATATATATATATATATATATATATATAATATATATTATTTTATTAATACAAAAACTTGTTTAATAAATTATACATAAAAATTTATAAATTCTTCCTTTTTTATCTTGTTGTCCATGTATGATGTTGATTACTAAGAAAAAAAATATCAACAACACTTTACTTGTTTATGAAGAATATATATCACCAATCTAAGATTTGAAAAAAAGTTCATATTACACCACTTTCTCTTTAAAAAGGCTTAGCTTGTTTCCAAAAAAAATTAGGAAAGTTAATAAAATTACGTTTAATATCTATTTTATTCCTTTTATTTGTTAGTTTTATTCAAAGTTATCATCTATTTTTTTAGTTGTTTAATTTAGTTTTCTTTTACTAACTACTTAATATCCACCTTTGTCCATGCAGAGTGATTTGACATATAAGTCCAATTGACATGACAAGGTTAAAAGTTAAAGTTAAATTTAAGCGTTAGAGTTTGAGTTTTTATGCTTCTCACAACGAAGGACGAGATTGTCTCCAGGTATAGAAGACGAACATGGTGGAAAGATGGTGTGATTTGAGTTTTTGTAGATTAGGGGTTTTTATGATTTAAGATTTTAGGGTTTTCTGTGCAGGTTGCGTAATTGAGGTTGAAGAAGGAGAAGATTAAGGTCGCAATTCGTGATGAAGATGAAGAGGAGCAAGGCGTTTCACGGTGGTGGTGGCGTTGTTGTGGCTTGGTTGCTCTTCACAAAAAGAAGATGATCACGATTAGGGTTTCATGTTCTCAATATAGAGTTTTGTGGTGATTTATTGTAAGTTTAATAATAACTACGGAGGTTCGTAACGGAATTCATGATGGTAGTTTGAAAACGAGGTTACTGGTTACAATTTTGGTGTGATTTATTGTTTTAGATTTGTGGTTGATTGAGAGAGAGGAACAATAAATAATGGTTGTTGTGGTGGCTAATTAAGGATTTAGCAAGAAGATGAAATAAAATATAAGAAGTGAAATAAAATATTTTAACATTGTCACACATGTAGTCACATATTGTAAAATTGGATAACTCACTCGGACTAAAGTTAACATTTAATAAATTAAATCATTTTTACAAAAAACAATTCAAAAATAAAATAGAGGATAGAAAACGATCATAAATTATTAGATTTTTAGTCAATAAGTAAATTTTGACTTATTTAGTCAATAAGATGAAAAAATAATTTAAATATCTATCATTAATTTTTAAATTATTTATTAGAAATTAATATGTAAGTTTATCCTACATCAAATAAAAATAAAAATAAGAAAATAAGTAATGCGTTTTGGTTGAAGTTTCCAGTTCTTTATTTTCACAGCAAATATATAACTACTTAGGTAATAATTTATCAAGGTACAAATAGTAATATTTCTTTTTTTGTTATTTATGTATTTTTATATTCAAATAATCGCGTTCATTCGAAAACAAAACGACGAGTAACCGTGTAAGAGGAGTGTCGTTTATTCCTGCGGCAAGATATTTTGACTATGTTCTCTTTTCAGTGACCCGTCGAGTCCATAACTCGCGCACACTGCAGTAACCAGATAACGAAGAACAGTGAAATGGTTCTTCTTCTGCACCTTCCAAGGTTCCCTCTCTACTTGATTACTTCATCTCAATCCCTTCCTCTCCGAGCCCTCTCAACTTCCTCCAAAACCACCCTCTTACGCCCACCCAAAGCCACGCTCACCACCTCAGAACCCGTGACCGTAACAAACCCTTCCGCAACAGAACTATCCCTCGAGAAGCTCTTCGTTCCGCCGGAGACGAACGTGTCTCTCGACACCGCGAGAGTGTTGAACGGTTCCAACATTCTTCTCAGCAACTACGCCAACGACGCTCTGATATCGCAGGCCGAATTCGTGAAAAGCAGTGTGAAAACCGAAGACTGCCCCTCCGATGGCCTCCCTGAATTTGCTCTCGTTGGCCGCTCCAATGTCGGAAAATCCTCCCTCCTCAACTCTCTCGTGCGCCGCAAGAAGCTCGCCTTAACCTCCAAGAAACCTGGTCCGCCGTTCTTCTATTAAATCACAGTGTTCTATATATGATACATAGAAAATTTATGTGCTTAGGCATTTGATCTTTTGGTGAGAGAGTGGATTTGTGATGCAGTTCAGTAGAGTGTTTGAGATATCGTAGATTAGGGTTAAGTGTTTTGGAGGGATGAAGTTATACATTATGTTTTGCTTTCAGTTAACGAGTGTTGTATTTTTTTGTTTTACGTATTATTCTATAAGTCAAAAGTATCGTATCGTCTTGTTGGCTAATATTCGAAGTGTTTATATATCAACATGATACTTATAAACTTCAAAGTGAATTGCAAGAGTTGTAGGGCTTCCTTATAGGAGTTTGAGTGATGAAATTGGGCCTCATTTGGATTTTTTTAAGGTTCAAAATACTGTAGATTTCCACCTGAGTGTTCAAGGCCTTTCTTTCGTAAGCTTAATTTGTTTTTTTCATTGTTATCTTTTATTCCTTTATTTCATTATCCGATTTTTTCTTTATGACAGATGGACTATCTTGTTTCCTTGTTTTTTGGGATACTTGCTTTCTATGATATTTGTCTTGCACGTGTATGACTTTGGGGTATGCAAACATTGCTTTTAGTTTATATTCGAAAAGGTCCAATACTGTACAAAAGATCAAGTGATGGATGTTAAGGTGCTGGATATAGGGTGTAACAGTTGTGCATTCACAGTGAGAGTTGAGATATGATAGCAGGATTTTTCACTTATTGCTAATTGACCTTTTCTTTCTCTGTGTATTTATTTACATTGCAGTATTGAATTGTCTGCTTTCTATTTTGCAGGCAAAACGCAATGCATTAACCATTTTCGGATTAATGATAGCTGGTACCTGGTTGATTTGCCTGGATATGGGTATGACTTTAGACGATGTGTACTCACTTCTGCTCTGCTCTCAAAGTTTTGTTTTATGTTAAAGACGCTGAACGTTACTGAATGTTATCTATTGGAAATGGATTCTAATAATATGCTTGATATCAACAGGACTAGCATGCCATGCAAATTTTGTTGAAATGCTCAAGTTCTATTATTACATTTCTTCTGCATTTAGGCCAGATTTTTTTAGTTGTAGTTTATACTGTTTTTTAGGACAACTGTTGATTAAGAATTTGATCCTGTTCACCATTCTCAAGTCAATGACAATTATTTGCCATCGTGTTCTTTTAATTAGGTATGCATCTGCACCGCATGAACTTAGAATGGACTGGGGAAAATTCACCAAGGACTATTTCCTTAACCGATCAACATTAGTTTCAGTATTCCTTCTAATAGATGCTAGCATTCCTGCTAAACAAATCGATCTTGACTATGCCAGTTGGTTGGGTCAGAATCAGGTAATGTGTCAAATTTTCTTCATTAGCAAATAATTTAATGAAGCTATGGTATACCTTGTGTGGAAGTTTGGCTCACTTTTGTCTTCCTGGAATTTTTATGTGTAGTTGCCAATACAAACAAACTACTTATTTACTGGTAGAATTTCTTGTAGATGGTAATTGACTAGCAGATCGGAGTTCCTGCCATTTCATCTTTCTGTCATGTAGATAATGTGCATGTATGTGAGTATATAGCATTTCACTTATGGAAATTAAAATGTTTTAGTTAGATAATTGATAATATCTGCTATGGGTCTGTCTTTAATCAGCAGCTAGTTCTTGATCATCTATGTGGAAGACATTGAATTCAGTAACAACTTATAGTAAGAACTCATCTATATAAAATGAAGGCAGATACGAATACAGTTACAACTTAAATTAGTCATTAGAACTTACCGATTGTCAAAATAGAAAATATTCTACTGAAGAGCTCAACCCTAAATGCCAAGGTGTCAAGAAGAGCCGGGTTTTATTTGAGAAGAAGTATGCACCCTCTAAGATAAACAACCAAGGTCTAGTATCACTTGATGTACTGGAGAGTCAGAGCCCTATCTAAAGGTCGGGTAATTAAGCAGGGAGAACCTCTAGCCGTCTACTTCTAACTAGAGCATCATAAAGTAGTTCTAGTTCATGTCCCGCACCTAGCCATATGGGACTTGTGCTGCTGCATTAAGAGATCAGGGTTAATTTTTTTCAGTAGCAAGTCGGTTTTAAATATAGTTTTTCTTTCAGATACCAATGACAATAATCTTTACCAAATGTGACAAGCGGAAGAAGAAAAAAAATGGAGGCAAAAGACCAGAGGAAAATGTTGATGATTTTCAGGACTTGATTCGTGGTTTCTTCCAATCAGTGCCTCCATGGATCATGACCAGCAGTGTCACCCATCAGGGTCGTGATGAAATACTTCTTCATATGGCGCAGCTACGGAACTATTGGCTTAAGCACTAATTCTGAGAAATATGGCTTCATGAGAACTAGTACGTCAATCTTGAATATAGTGAATTGCTTAATGGTATCTAGCTGGTGATTTAAATTCTAAATTCATCCCATATCTCAAGTTCATAGTAATAGCGAAACACCTTTAAATTTATTGACATTTTATATTTTGCCAAGAATAAAGCAAATATTTTATTTCATATTTATCATTGCAGATACGCGTTTCCAGATAGACTTGCTCGATTGTTTACCCCATAATATCATTTTATCTATATATTCCATGGTGTGCTTTCTGTGTTGTCTACACAACCTACAAGGCCTAAAGCTATTGACATGAAAGCTGGATAAAGAAAACCATCTAGAACAAAGCTCGATGTTGTTCAACACCATGCCCGCTTGAGGTTCTACTCCCAGTCAACTTGTATGATTGTTCTAACGAACTTTCTTTATTTTTTACAAATGGTTATTATTTATTACCTTAAAAATGCAAATGATATTTTCATTCAAATACTTGGATGCTTCCAAAGTTCTCGTCTCATTGATATTAAAGATCCTAAATAAAATAATTTGCCTGCCCCCCCACATAACACTTCATGGAAAACGATAACTTTCCATGAATACTCAGCATGCCCACTGCATTTTTTTTTCTCGTGGCCGGAGACGAGCTGAAGAATAAAAGTATATGCAAGGATGCAGCTGGTAAACAGCATCCACATAGAAACTTGTAACATTTTTCTTTTTGTATGACAGTGAGACGAATGAGATGTCTATCAGATGTCATTTTCAATTTCTGTTGTTTATCAAATTTATCAATTATCCGTTATGCTCTTGCTGTCTATATTTCAGTGACCCAAAACAGCATATAACTAATAACCAGATAACTCAATCATGCTGAACAACAGTGACGCAAAACTGCACTGGACTCAAAAGGGTGTCTTTGGCCAAGTAACGTTCGAAAACGATGTGTAGTACATGTGTGCACATGTAATATCCACCCGCGGTGATAGGTATTTGATTGACAATATGGTATTCGAGGTACCAGGCCTCCAAGAAGAAGAAAGATAGAAATTTAGTGAATAATATTCTCTGCCTTTTCCAGTTTTATTACATTCCTTATATTCCCTGCATATATTAAATATTTATCCGCATATCACGATAATCACGTAAACACAATAAGAAAAGGTTCTCACAGAAAAAATTCTCATAAAATAAACACAATACTTTTTTTTTCTCTCTCTCTCTCTCATAGTGCACGTAGTCATCCCAATTTGTGGGTCTCCTAATATTTCTTTTGCATTAACACTTTCAATTGACCCAATATCCTCCTGAATGCATATTGTATCATTCCTCGCGCCTTGCAAAAGAACCTTGTCCTCAAGGTTGGAAGTACGTTGAATATCCATCCAAGGTTCCCAAGCAGCTTCCTCAGGAGAGAGTTCTTGCCATTGCACCAGAACTTCCAGGTGTGGAGACTCACTGGAATTGTTCTCATGGGTTCCTAAGATGACCAATTGGACTAAGTAAAGGACCATTATTATAATTACTTGACGGAAGCATGCCAGCTATTGAAGGTGGAGGTTCGTGATGTGGTTTCAAAACAGAACAGTGAAATACATGGTGAATTTTTGATGTCTCAAGAAGAGCCAAACAATAGGCCACTGGGCTGATTCGACTAAGAATTTGAAATGGTCCAAAATAACATTTTGCCATTTTCTGTGGGGTCTTTCCAGCAAGCGAAATTTGGCGATATGGCTTGAGTTTGACATAAACCCACGCTCCCACCTCATATTGAACATCACGACGATGAGCGTCAGCCATTGATTTCATACTATCCTGAACCTTTTGTAAATTTCGACCTAAAGTGGATAAAATGTCATCTCGTGAGCTAAGTAAATGATCAACATCCTCCACTTGTGATTGACCCAATATATAACCCGACAAAGGGAGGAGATCATCCATAGACAATTTCGAATGGGGTGTATCCAGTTGCCGAGTGAATAACAGTATTATAACACCATTCTGCCCAGGGAATAAAGTGACTCCATTTGACTGGGTGTGCATTACAAAAAGCACACAGATATTGCTCAAGAGTTCGATTTAGAACCTCAGATTGTCCATCAGTCTCTGGGTGATAAGCAGAAGACATCCGCAATTGTGTCCCACTAGCTTTGAATAATTCTTGCCAAAACTTACTGAGGAATAATGGGTCACGATCACAGACAATACTCTTTGGCATGACATGTAGTTTGCCCAAGACATCAAAGAAAAGTGTAGCCACTTGATATGCTGAAAACTGTGTAGGAAGAGTGGCAAAATGGGCTGCTTTGGAGAAACGATCAACAACCACCAAAATGGAAGTGTGCCCACGTGAAGATGGAAGGCCAGTAATAAAATCCATGGCCAAGTCTTCCCAAAAGCGTTGAGGCAATGGAAGAGGTTGAAGCAACCTAGCTGGTTTTTGTGGTAAATATTTAATTTGTTGGCACACCACACAGTTGTGAATGAAAGTCTTCACATCCTTAGTCATAGAGGGCCAAAAGAAATTCTATTACAATCGATGAAGTGTCTTAACAAGACCCACGTGTCCCCCTAAAGGGGTTGCATGAAATTCTCTCATAAGGGTCTCACGAAAGGGAGACGTTGCAGGCAACCAAATTCTGCTTTTATAAAAAATCAACCCATCTTTCAATTTATAATCTGGAAATGCAACAAGGTCCTGATTTATATCATGTAAAAGTTGAACAAAACTGACATCACCCTGTAAATTATCCTTTAATTCCTCCAAAAATTGAAAGTGAGGGATAGTGAGCACATAAGAATGACCCAGATTATCCTCTGCAATAATTTGAGAAAGAGCATCGACAACCACATTGGAACTACCAGCACGATATTGAATCGTATAATTATATACAATGAGTTTACTCACGTAGAATTGCTGCTCTGGAGTTTGCACAGTTTGCGCCAATAAATCTTTTAGGGGTTTGTGATTAGTCTGAATGATGAAAAAGTGTACCAACAAATATTGTCGCCACTTTTTAATGGCTAGAGTTATCGCATGCAACTCCCGTAAATAGGTAGATGCCTGCATCATCCGATAACAAAATTTTTTACTAAAGAAAGCAATTGGTTGTTGATCTTGAGAGAGAACCGCACCCATAGCTATGCCAGAAGCATCTGATTGAATAACAAAAGGTTTCGAGAAATCTGGTAGAGCCAAGACTGAGGCTGTGGACATCACATGCTTTAGGTTATCGAAAGCTGTCTGAGCTTAAGGAGACCAATGAAAGGCATCCTTACGAAGTAAATCTGTGAGAGGAGAGGCCAAAGTAGCATAACCTTTAATGAATTTGCGATAAAATCCCGTTAAACTTAAGAATCCTTTCAATGCTTTCACAGAGGTAGGTGGTGGCCACTACAACATTGCCTCAATTTTAGAAGAATTCGGACCTACCGATCCAGCATTGACCACATGTCCCAAGTACTCAACCTGTTGTAAAGCAAATGAACATTTGGATTGTTTCAAATAAAAATGGTTGGCATGTAACAATTCAAAAGTGATTTGCAAATGTAATAAATGATCCTCCCATGTAGTGTTGTAGATCAATATGTCAAAAAAAAATGATGACAAATTTACGTAGATGCGATCGAAATAGGGCGTTCATGGTGGCCTGAAAAGTTGCAGGCACATTCGAAAGACCGAATGGTAGAACCCAGAACTCAAAATGCCCATCATGGGTACGAAAAGCGGTCTTATGAATGTCTTCCGGCTTCATGCGAATATGATGATAGCCTTGTAGTAAATCCAATTTGGAAAACCAAATGGCAGCACCCAATTCATTCAGTAATTCATCAATGGTGGGTATGGGAAAACTATCTGGAACAGTGATGGCATTCAAAGCCTTGTAGTCAACACAAAATCGCCAAGTGTTATCTTTCTTCTTAACCAAGAGGACCGGAGATGAAAAAACACTGGTGCTAGGTCGAATCTCCACTGAAACAAGCATTCGGGCCACTTAAGCTTCAATTTCTTGTTTTTGAGAATAAGGATAACGATACGGACAAACCTTCACAGGAGCTGAATTGAGTAATAAAGTAATAGCATGGTTAGTGGGGCGTTTAGGAGGTAAGGATGAAGGCTCCTTGAATAAAGATTGAAATCGATTCAATAAAGTAGATAATTCTGGAATATTAGTTGGAATCACACAAAAATACGCAGCATAAACTAACATAGTCGGCAGCACAGTAAGATGAAAACATTCAGCAATATGGCCCCACTTGGACAATTTACGTAAATGATGAACCGACAGTGGCAAAGAATCATTATTAACGTCACCTATCAATTTGGCCATCTGGCCTGACCAAGTAAATTGCATGGTAAGTTGTTCATAGTCGGTTAAAACAGGACCCAAACTCTGAAGCCATTGCACTCCCAACACGGCCTCAGGCCCGCATAGATCAATTAAATGAAAATCCACCAAAAATGCTTGATTCTGGATTACGAGAGGAACTTGGTGCAAACCTGAGAGCAAGTCAAGGCATGGCCATTGCCAACCATCACCGATACTTGTTTCGTAGATTTAAAAGGCAGACCCAATTCCTGAGCTCATTTAGATTGAAGAAAATTATGAGAACTTCCACTATCAATTAGAATGCGAACGAAATGCTCCAATATTTGTCCTGTGACGCAAAACATCTTCGAATTAAAATGCCCTAATAATGCATTTAAACTCAACTGAGCAGAGTCATGTACATTGGAAGTAATAGAATCATCTAGAGGAAGATCAGAAGGTATAGTCTCCTCATCATCATGCACGAGAAGAAAGAAACGAGATTTGCAACGGTGTCCAGGATTATATTTCTCATCACAGTTGTACCATAATCCACGGTCATGACGATTTTGCATTTCTGAGGCTAACAAACGCTTAAATGGAACAGTTGGAGTAACTGGTGTGGGTAGGAGAGCTTGGCGTGGTGTCGATGGTAGAGAACGTGAAACGGGTACATTGGAACTCCGTTGAGGTTGTACGATAGAGTTAAATTTGTCCTCTTGAAGCTTGGCTAACTCCGTTGCTTCCGAAAATGACACTGGCTGGAAAGCGAGCACCTCACGCTAAATGTCTGGAGGAAGACCAGAAATAAAACACTCAAGCAAAAAAGAAGGAGGAACGTTGGTGACCCCGTTTGCAAGGCCTTCAAAGTCATTGAGATATTGCAAAACAAACCTAGTCTGATAAAGATTGCAGAGTCATCCCTTAACATTCTAAAAACGAGATGGAGCAAAGCGTGTTTCCAAAGAGTGTAAGAAATCCTTCCAAGAACGAAGGAAGTGATTTCTCTCCATCCACTGAAACCAACTAAGGGCAGGACCATCCATGTAAAAGGAAATAATCTGGAGACGATCGGCTTTTGGGGTTTGGTGATAGTTGAGAAAACGAGTTGCGGCAAAAATCCAGTCTAACGCGTTGGACCCATCAAAATGAGGACAGTTCAACCGAATCTTGGGAGTTTGCTTCGGAAACGATGATTGCGTTAAGGGTTTTTGCTTGATGGAAGCAACCTCTGAAGAAAGATCATCGATGCGAGCTGTGAGACGGGACACTTGCTCAATTAGAAGGTCTATGGCAGAAGGTTGAGAAGTTGTCATTGAAAGCACCAAATGATAGGTATTTGAGTGACAATCTGGTATTCGAGGTACCAGGCCTCCAAGAAAAAGAAAGATAGAAATTTAGTGAATAATATTCTCTGTCTTTTTCAGTTTTATTACATTCCTTATATTTCCTACATATACTAACGATTTATCCGCATATCACAATAACCACGTAAACACAATAAGAAAATGTTTTAACAAAAAAGATTCTCATAAAACAAACACAATACTCTCTCTCTCTCT